CGCTTTTCTGGGAGAATAATCAACACATCATTGTCTGCTATCTCAATACAAATGTCGATTCCTTTAGTCAAAAAATTAAAATTGTGTATTATTCACGGTCTGTCTCGATTAATAATATTCTCGATTTGTTTCGAACAAATAAGATTGCACCTATTACGCATACAAAGGATTATTATACCTAACAAAATTGCATCTATTGAACATACCAAGAATTTTCTCATGCCCCAATTAATAATGGGTGATTTTATTAAGTAAGCAATAATCAGTGAGTGCCCTCGAGGCTGCAGGAATATTGGCCGTCGCACTCGGACAGTGACAACAATAATAAATTAATAATAAATAATATATTAATATTTAATAATAATATAATAAATAATAATAAATAATATAATAAATTTCCCAAAGTGAAATTTATTCTGCCTATGTCAGCTACTCAATAATATCCTACTGAAGGTGGATTGTTAATATAGACGAAACTACGATAAAATGTCCGATTCCTTAGACTTAAATGCAGTCAAGAAAGATAGAAATATTAGATGTTATGCAAAAGACAAAAAATAAACAGAAAAGTGAGTAATATGATTAAATAAATTAACCTGCCTGCCTCACTCACCAAAACCTCAGCACATTTGATCCTCCGTACGTTTTCTTTCAATTTGAAGGAAGTGTAGACAGAAACCCTGAGGTTCCAGAAGCTTCAAATGGACATCACAGTTCAAAGGAGAGTTTTAATTAGTACTTTGACAATGAAATGCATTGTCGCTATCGCTTATTGCAAAATTTACCATCGGTTTCGCAAAAAAATTAATTTCATTTACTTACTCTCTAACTGCAACACACGAAACAATTATCCCGTTTATTATTTTGAATAAACTTTCAGAGCGACACTGGAAGCCAGCACCGCGGTGTGGCCACGACGTGCTTGCTCTGAAGCAGTTCAGCGACTGCGGACACTTGTTGCGCTGGGCTATACTTTCAAAACTCGCTAAGTGAACGTAAGTACCTACGCTCTATTTTCTTGTCTATGATTGGTGGATTTGGCGTGAAAGGCGGTCAATGATTGGCTGATGAACTTACGATCTCTTAACTTTTTTGGAAAGTATAGGCCCTGGACAGGTAGACTAGAGCAACGCATGCAACTTAAGCCTTGGTTCTACTTACCTTATTTTGCAAAAGGTTGCATAGTTATTCAAATGTAACGTTACTACATTTTTCCTTTTGTGAATTTGCCCCCAGTAAAAGAAAAAATCAAGGAATGACCTCTTGACTGGTGCACAATTAATGAACCAACTGAAATTAGGATCACAAATTCAGAAAATTCAAGATCTCTGAAATTTCAGAGAATTTTGCACGTTAAAAATTGAATGACTCAAGATCTTCTAAAGAATTCGCTGGCAGATGAGTTCGTGCTCACGGTCAAACCAAAATAAAAAAGTCAAGCCCTTAAAAAAATGGACGTACCAAAATTAATTCACTGGCAGCTACTCAATCATCAAATTGGACGACCCTAGTGCCCACACACTCCACATCAAAGTCAAAACTAAAGTTGAACCTCCATCTTCATATCGGAACAATGATATTTACCTCGACAAGTCCTCGGGTTTTTTGAGCAGTCACTCGTTTTCTTTAAAGACGAGTTCTGGTCTGTGACCAGCAACGCTGACAGCTTCTGCAACACACATACGCAGCGTCCACAGGAACACGGCTGTGACATCGTTCAATGTTTAGTGACGCTAGAATTAGGTGTTTCAGCTATAAGTTTTGCGTCTATCTCTTGTTTCTGTTTCGATGAGATAATGTAAAACGCTGAAAACTTCGGTGTAGTAAAGCAAAGTTGAATAACAACGAGAACTTTTTCGTATCGTTTCTAGAAAAACCATGGCCTTAAGAGTGATCATTGAAAGTGAAATTTCAGTACATTTGTTTAAAGGTTAATTAAGCTATTCGTAGCGCGTGCGCTTTATCTGACATGATTTTTGACGCGTGTACCTCATAGTTGAATTATCGTAATGTAATGTACATTTTTGAAAAAGAATCAGGGAGATACGAAGGTATTGCATAAACAATTTATCTAGAAATGACATGGCGGATTGTTCGGAAACATCATTCATATCAAATAAATGCAATATAATTTATTCAATGAAGCATCTATCAAACCCCCGGGAAATTTCTTGTTGTGATTTTTACCCAGTCTGATACGGTTCCGTTAATGCTGACACGTTGTCTTCTGCCTACTAGGAAATTCCTGATCCATTGGAGTACATTTCCCTCTATTCCCAGTTGAACCGGTTTTTGATTTGTTTGCTTCGGTGTAATAAAACAAAGTTGAACAAAAACGAGAACTTTTTTCAAATCTTTTCTCGAAAAACCATGGCCTAAGACTAAGAGTTTCAGTTGTGTCTGAAAGCGATATTTCAGTACGTTTGTTCACAACTTAAGCTATCCGTAGCGAGTGCGTCTCGGCTGACATGCTTTTTGACTTGTGCACCATATAGTTGAATTATCGTTATATAATGTACATTTTGAGAAAATTTCAGGGAGATAGTATGATATTGCATAAACAAACTATCTAGAAACGATCAGGCGGATTGTTGCAAAATATAATTCATAACAAATAAATGAAATGAAATTAACTCAATGAAGCATCTATCAAACCCCCGGGAAATTTCTTGTTATGACTTGGTAATTCAGAATTGACAATTAATTAGAGAACTGCCTGATGGTTGCTTCCACACTGGGCAAGCAAAATTTTCACACTGGAATAAACCCAAGAGCTCCCAATTTTGGTGTAAGCCTGAGCTAATTTTCGGCCCACAGTTCAATGAGAACTTCTTGCAGAAATTTCGCGATCTCTAGTACCACTAAGTTTCCAAAGTCTGAGTAAATTGTAGAAATTTCTAAAAAATCTGAGTAACAATTTCAAAAGGGTGTTGAAAACTTTCGAACTTTGAGGCTCGAATTTCACATTTCGAAAATTCCGATAAAAAATCAATTGAAACATAAGGAAAATGGCAAAGAGTTATCAAAATTTAATCTTGAAAATTTTGAGAAAAAATCTTCAAGCCGCTTCTGAAGCAGCTGTTCACCTGGAGGCCTACAATAAATATCCAGCAGTAGTTTTATGTTAACGCATTCGAGGACGGAGATTATTTTGATCCTTTAATAAAGGTGCTTGTACAAATGTACATGGGGAAAATAGTGGTGGCCCTTACCAAGTTTGAATGCTAACTATGACTAATTAGCAATTAGTGGTGGCTACTTTTCGAAAGTTATACTGGTCGCTACTGTTGTCGCCGTGGAAAAACACCTCAAACAATCGCAAATACGTTCCATCAATTCACCGTAAGGACAAGCAAACACATCTGAAAGATTATGAGCTGTACTTAATTTCTTTATCTCAAATCTATGTTTGGTATAACTAAAATATAAGGGCTCATGTATAGTAGTTCAAATTGATCTCAAAAGTGTAACAACGATAGAGTTAACGTCACTTCAAGGAGGACTAAAATAATAAAATCTCCTAAGAATACGACACCAAAAAAGTATAAATTACACATGGAAATGGTTTGGTTTCAAAATAATTGCACTCAATTGCAGAGCAATATTACATTAATCTCAACGCACAGCAGGCAGTTAACTCTAGAACTGACTTCACAAATGCGATTAAACACTTTAACTAACAACGAACAAAACATAATTGAGCGATAATCATTGTAAACATTACAAAGCGAGTCTTGGAATACCGTGTATCATTAAAATGATTAAAATATGCAGCTATTATTTGGTTCATGAATAATGCACCTGAAAATATTCGGCTTTGTATTGTAAAAAAATCATAAAGATACACAAAATTAAGTGACCGAACGAAATGTCATATGCTCCATATAAAAAAAACATCACGAGTTAAGTTAAACTGACTTTTTAATACATACGATTGCCTTGGGGACGAATTGATATCCTGCAATATGCTGCAATAAAAAGCGATTTCTTTCGACTGTATTTCCAGGGAAGAGATAACTTCCATTAATCCTCAGTTGAATTGAGATTCAGATGAATTGATTGAGATACAGTTGAATTGATTGAGATTCAGATGAATTTATTGAGACACAGTTGAATTGATATTCAGTTGAATTGAGGTGTACGTTGAATTCAGTTGAGTTGAGTTGTATGATTAAGTAAGGACTTTCCAGGTAGCAGAACCAATAGCAACGGAATGGAAATAATAAATGAAAATTTCAGCAATAGTTCATTATTGTGTCCAGCTCCTGAACGGTCATAATGCAGCTAATCACCCATTTCGAGCGGACCCCGAACACGCTTCAAAAATAGTCGATGAAATTTGAGATGGTATTTGCATCCTGATATAATCGTCAGCAATTCGATGAAAAAAATAAGTTTTTACTCCTACATTACACAATTTTTTCATTGGTAGATTTTTCTCGCTACATGATTATGATGAGAGGAAAATTAACCAACATAAGTACATGCCTGCACAAAACAATTTTAATCATGATATTTCACATGATTTTCACATATATTCGATGAAAAAAATAAAGTTTTTTACTCCTACATTACACAATTTTTTCATTGGTAGATTTTTCTCGCATTCAAGGAAAACACCCGTCGACACATGATTATGATGAGAGGAAAATTAACCAACATAAGTACATGCCTGCACAAGACAATTTTAATCATGATATTTCACATGATTTTCACATATATTAGGAATAACTGATATCATATGTCAGGAGTTATATTAGTACCGTATAAACACACACTCACACACGTCACTGATAGCCATGCCTGACAATCTACAGGATTATTAATTGGGCCAATATATTACTACCTTAAATTGATGTGCTCAACAAGCCTCAACGTCAATGGTGACTACCCGTCACGTCGACAACTCAATTTTACAACCATTTTTCCTGTTTCCATTTCTATTTTTTCTAGATTAAGTACTATGGATGGAGCTGGTCTCCGAAACGTTTTCTATAAAGATATGAATTTTTGTGGACTTTTCTTTGCTTTTAAATTCTTAGTAAGTACTACATTTTTCGTAATATGTGGTCACAGCTGTTCACAGGCTGTGTTTATCGGGTATACACACAAAGATAACCGCAATTGACACATAAAGGGAGTTTAAGAAGGACTAAAGACTCTGAGTGTTCGCATCAAGGCCGTCAATACCCCAGCCAGATTGGTGGCGTGTGTCATCAAGGAATTCATAGAAGGATGATCGAGTCCTCGTCCCGAAGCAGCAAGCGCTGCCCGCACCGTCGTATGATAAGTGCTTGAAACATCTCGCACTTTCACCACGACGTTCTGTGTCTGCAAGGGAGTAGCTGTGTGCTGGACAACTTGCTGAGTAACTTCCACCATGCGCTGTAGCAACGTTACGCAGTTGGACAGACACTGTAGCAGAGTCTCTTCAGATTCCGTGGCAGATTTCACAAACAATTTCGATGCAGTTACAAATTGTCGTGATTCGCTCGTTAGAACATCTTTCGCCGCCTGAAATTTGGATTCGTTCTTTTGAGCATTACCGGTTTTCTGGGCTTCTGCACAAATAGCCGCTAGTTTGGTTAGGCTTTTAATAGAAGATAATACTACAGAAGTCACTTGTTTAAAAGCTTCTCGTGATGCAGGAGCCATGGCCTCAATATCCTCAGACTCGTCCAAAGAATCTTGATCAAAGCTTCCCGAGTCTAAAGAATCATCTAAATCATTCGAATTTGACACTAATTTTCCGTTAGAAAGCTTGGATTTCGGCGAGAGCTTGGGACTCGATGTCTGCAAAGGCCCATTCGTATCGTTGACACCATTTCTAAGCACGGGGGAGTCTGGCTTGCTTCCGTTCACAGACAACACGCGATTAGAAGATCCATTTTCTATCCTGTTCGGCGAAGAGATAGGAGGTAAAGGTCGATTTAAGAAAGGATTCAATTTGGTTGGAGAATTTCTATCTGCAGAAGTCGAAGTGGGACTAGCGACAGTGGTTGTAGAAACTGGCGACGTTAGAGATGGTGGAGGAACGGGAGGTTTGTATCCAGGACTCTGAGATGGGGGTAGTGATCGGGTGGAAGTCCCGTTACTGGCGCAGGTCAACTGATCGGGGCGGGGAGGTGCGGGTCTCGTAGATCTAGACGGAAGCGCTGGTGGGGTTAGCTCTTCCTTACCAGCCCCGTCAGCATCGCTCTTTGTACGACTGCTACCAGATACGTGCAACATACGACGACGGGGAGAGGGTGAACGACCGCTTTTACTATTCAGTGGTTGTGGGCGTGGATTGTCCTGAGAACGACAGAATAGAAGTAAAATTAAAAAGAGTTAATGTTTGCGTTCAGACGATAGAACGCGGTTGAAAATTAGAATAATGTTTACGCTACCATAGAACATGAAACGTAGAAGTAGGTACAGAAAATACCATAATTAGCAATAATTAGGCAAAAAATAAAAGACAAAGGCACATGGCGTTTACACACTGCCACGAGCCCTTGTAAAACGTTCGATATAGCAATGCCAAAAATCTGCCGTTAACAAACAGCAACTCAAAAGCAACTACAACAGAACTCTGTGAAGCCAGTTCAGGCAGAGAACGTTATGCGCTACAACGAATGATTGGTTTGACCTTAACCGAATAAAAGAATCAATAGTAAAGAGCATCTACGAAAATTCTGATTTATTACAATAATTTCTCAAAAAATTTATTGTTGAGTATTTTCCATCAGAAGTATGAGAAAAAATCAGATTAAATTCTACAACGAACAATCTTTAGGAATAAAAGCAGTCAATATCAAAATGTGGAAACAAAATTTTGAGGACTGAATTACCTGAGAGACGCTACGAGGCAGAGGAGGCTTCATAGCAGAAGGTCTGCTCGCAGTGTTTCTAGGAGGCAGCTCAGGAGGAGGCTCATCTTCCAAGCTCTTTAGCGAGGCGCTCTTGACTGTCACTAAACTAGAGGAAGAGGTAAGGGAATCGTTGCTGGACCTAACGCTTTGTTTAGACGGTGATCCGTTCAGTGCTCTTGCTTGTCTCAGATCTTCCGACGAAACCGAGCCATCTGATCTACCATTAACTGATGGGGAACTTCTTGCTATATCACCATGCGAAGCTGATTTTGATAAGCTATTGTATGATGATGAAAAAGACTGGTCTCTATTTGTTCTGTAGCTGGCAGATGCTGAGGGAGGAGGTGAAATAGGCGACTTTAAACCTGTCACCGGCAAGCGTGGAGGCGGAGAAGGAGGCGTAGACTCGACGTCGCTTCTACCAGTGTTCGGGAAAGATTGTTGTCTTGGTAAACTGGCCAATCTTTGACAGCTGCTGCCAGTGATATTAGAATTGAAATTTCGTATTCTCGACGAGACGGAAGGCGAAATGGATTCCGAAGCTTTTTCATTTGGTGAGTGATTTTGTTCGTTTTGAGATCTTTTGCTTGAATTAAAAGTTTTGAACATTTGGTCGTTTTCTTCGAGTGCTTGTGCAAGTCGCACGTCAAGTTCACTTGGTGGGTTCGAATTCTCGGAACGCAGGCTGTCGTAGCCTGAAGAGTCGGCGGGAGAAAGTTGTTTTTCGCTCATTTTTCGAGGGTTGCCAGCTATTCTATAGCCGTTATTGAGAGAAACATTAGGCGTTGTCACAGATAAGGAATTATCAGAGTTTACAGATCCAACATTAACATTAATTTGACCTCTACTTAGAGTAGACCATTGCTTCTGAGCTTCAAAATGCTTTTGAAGAGACGCTACTTTTCCGCTGGGTAGAGTAGAACACATTTTGGTGTTTGGAAGGACTTCGGTGACGTCCAAGTCTTTTTCTGTTTCTCTGGATCCACCCAAGAGTCCATCGTCACCAACGACCTAAATTTCATAATTCCTTTTAAATTCGGCTTTTAAAATCAAATTAAATTACTATTCAAATTCATGCATTCGTCATTATTAAAAAATGTATTGATAGTATGGAAAGCGAATCAAGGATACAAGCAGCTCACAATGCTAACTAAATGGATGCAACTAACGTAAAAACGAGTTCATCTAAACAAACAATTTTTGCAAATGGGTACTAAACCACGAAGAAGAGAAATAAACTAGTAAAACTACCAAGACTACTTAATAAATAAAATCGCATATTCACTCACTCTAATAATGCCTGCTTTTGCCTCGTATAGGCGTTTGATTATGTCTGATGACCGATTGTTTTGAATGGATGCAACTAACGTAAAAACAAGTTCATCTAACCAAAAAATTTCTGCAAATGGGTACTAAACCACGAAGAAGATATCTAAACTACCAAGACCACTTAATAAATAAAACTAAAAATTCACTCACTCTAATAATGCCTGCTTTTGCCTCGTATAGGCGTTTGATTATGTCTGATGAACGATTGTTTCCGTTGGACGCTGGCGGCGGCGGGATTATAAAGGCAGACAAGTCGTAACCCGACCCCACCGCCTCGTGCGCTGCAGCTGCCAGCTGAGCCGCTCGCGTTTTCTGCAACTGATAAATTTTGTTATGAAGAATTCATGGGACACTATCCACGCACTAAGATGGAGCTGTGCATGAGGAATCAATAAAAATTGAGGAATCAACTGATAAATTTTTGAATTATTGAGGAGAAAAGATGATACTGAGTTGATTAGTTCGGGATATATTGAACGGTGAAAAAATACGAGGCTAAAGTTGAAAACGCGTCTTTTGCAAGGCTTGTCATGATTTGAAACGTTTATGCCCCATGCCTATGTGATTCACAGCCTTCTCATTAAACTCATCCAACTTGTGGTTAGCTACAAGATTTTACGCTATGAATGAGACGGATATTCTTATGGTCGATAAAATAAAAATGGTGCTTCTTAAAACACACGAACAAACGTCATCAGAGATGATCACCTGAGGGGAGAGCTGAGGATGAACTTTTCTCCAAAGCGAGCAGTTCTTTCTCGAGAGTTTGCCGGTCAGCGAAGGGTGTGGGAGGCGTGCTGATCTGAGACACGGGGAGCAGCTTTGGGGCACCGTCCTGTACAACAGGAATGTTACAAAATTATTGAGTAAAGCTCCCATCTCTCACCGAGCTAATCTAACTTCGGTTCAGACGAACATTACGCAAAATGCTCGTATGTGGCCTACTTTTTGTCAGAGAACGAAAGGGGGCGTTGTGTAAAAAATCTCAGTAATACGAGTATTCATGATAAAAATATATCAATCCTGCCAAAGGAATTAAATGTTTTCGTTGGGTTCCTCTAGCATCATATATTTAGAGGAATGATGGTAAGGCTATACAACACGGAAACAGAAAAAAAGTGATGTTAGCCATATAGATTCCTATATAAAGACATGTTTTACTCCTTTCAGTCAGTTAAGTTAAAGCACAAAATAATGTTCTAAGTCGGGACACAAGAACAAAATACAATAGATACCGACATGCACAGAAACAACAAACCTCATCAGGAGTGATTGGAGGAGGGATCATTGTGAGGTCGATAATATCAGGGTCGAGATACAGAGTTCCTTCAGCGAAGGTGTAGGGAAGTCCGGAATTATCTTCGAGTTTTCTGATGAGGGAGCGCAGGTCGTCCTGGCGAGCCTGTGCCGTGATGGGTAAGTTGTCGGGTGAGTGCAGCCCGAAGGAGGAGAAGCTCGTCTTGATGTCGCCTGACGAAGGTCTTGAAGCGTCGCTGGTTTTACGCGACGACAACTCGGCGGGCGAGGGAGTCGGGGAGGCCGTTTGGGCAGCGGGACTTGAGTTGAAGTTCTGGTTCACAGATATCGCACCTGCGGGAAATAATGATGTACAGAAAGCGCTTCCCATTTGGGCAATAAAATGATTAGAAATTATGCTAAAACAATTGGTGAAAATCTCTCAAATATCTAAAAAGCGTTTTACAATAACAAAGTTAAATGATTAGATAATTTTACAATCGGTCCATTGTTCTTGTAGGATGGACTACAATATTACGGCCGAACATAACTAAATAACACTGAAAAATGATATAGATAGAAAATTCTCATTAGATGGACGTATGTTTCAGCTGGTGGTAACATTCAGGCTGCAAAAAAGTGAATATAAACTAGAATACGGAACCAGATTTCAGAAATGCCAGGGTTTACGTATTACCTGGCCTGTGTGCAGGGCTGTGGGACGGAGTGCTCATGCTGTCGCTGTCACTGCCAGAGCCTCTCTGCTGCTGTTGCTGTTGATTATGTTGCTGCACCGAATATTCTTGAGAGTCTTCAATCAGCTTCTGGCCCTGCAATGAACACAAACATTGTTTCTAGAATGTCGGCCAATACAACTTATAATAAACGAAATATTGCATGAAATGCAATTGATACAAGCCTCCTCGAGAAATGTCTCTCCTGATATTATTAATTTTAAGATGGGGCAGTAGAAGCACTCTATACAACATGCAGCTTATGTTTATACGATATCGCTAAAAATACATCCTTCTTTATAATAACCACGTTCTGTAAAAACTACTCTAACAACTTCGAGAAGAAGAGGCATTAAATTGCGTTAGTCGGCAAAACTTGACGTGACGGAATACAAAATACATCCTTATTTATTGGAGTCCCGTTCTGTAAACATTACTCTAACTACTTCGAGAAAGAAGAGGCATTAAATTTGTGTTAGTCATCAAAACATGACGGAAGTTCACCTGAGTGAGTAGCAGCAAGGAGTCGGAGTGCTTGAGTCTGCCGTACTGGTTTCCGTCGGAGCGGACGCTCTCAGCGTCAGTGGTCTCTCCGTCACTCGCTGCAGCCTCTGCCTCACTTGCCTGCTGCTGCAACTCTGCCACGCGTCTTGTCATCTGATGAGAAAAAAATATAACTCAGTACTCACTGCAGTGAGTGACAGAGAGCGTATTTTCTCGTCGAAGAAAACATGAAGTCACGGACGGACAGACAGACGGACGGACATGGCGAGCACAATAGTGCATTTTTTTCATAAATGAGAAAATGCGCTAAAAATATAAGCAATCAACATGGAGACAAATTAATCAATAAATTAGTGGCACTGAAGTTAACGGACATGAATCAAAATTTGAAAATTCCTTTGCTCACCAAATATGCAGGGAAAGAGAAGTATAAATTTTGTTAATCAACGTGACACACAGAAAATACGTAAACGGCAATGAACACGGCCGCTCTTTATTATTTGATATAATCCAACAATAGATACCTATAACGATCAACAAAAAATATTACAAGCACAAAATTTGGTTACGATCGTTCGCTACAACACTCAGAAATCTACCTTCCAATAAATTTAATAGAAATTTCAGTAATAAATTGTTAGATATTAATTTATTGAACATATGTTTAAAGCATCGATATAAAAAATTCGTGCACAGAATTATTTAACAACATGAAAGGTTCATAAAACCATCTATTCGCTCGTTAATTTAAAATGAATATTAGGAAATTAAATCTTTAATATTTAAATACCAAACATGACTGCATAAACCTGGGAACATAAATGTAAATATGATATTCTCGTAGGTCAAAAATGCAGCCTTGTAAACTTATCAATGTCGGAGCTCACGATCTATAAGTACCTCGGCACCAGCGTTCCTGGCTTCGAACAGCGTATCACCATCGCAGCGGCTAAAAAGTACCTTCTTGGTACCAGGATCCAGAGCACCACCACGTGCAGTGGCCGTGTATCCACAAGTTGCGGTAAGTGTGGTACCATTGATGCCTGATATGTTGGTACCACTGCTGTGAGTGCCAGAGTTGTTCATAGCAATGCCAGTGGACCGAGAAGGAATGCCAGAGCCGACGATGGTTCCTACATCTGACGTGTTGTCGTACACAGAATTCCTGCCGTAAAATTCAATACGTTGAATTTCACCACTTGTTGAATTTCTACAAGTGATGCGGTTTTAGGCTGGAGTGCCAATACTTCGAATAGTACGATAAATTGAAATGATTTGCATAAAATTATATTAAGAGTAATTAAAAAGTAGAACGATTATTTTTGCTGCGTTTGGTTATATTTTACATTGTTAATTTTATCTGTTAGGTTTGGTTCATCTATATCTATATATAGATATAGATATATACTATATCTATGTATAGATATAGTATATATCAACCATATATATATATATATAGTTTATATATAACTATATAAACTATATCTATATATAGATATAGTATATATCAACTATATATATACAGTTGATATATATATATATCAACTATAACATATATATAATTTATATATAACTATATAAACTATATCTATATATAGATATAGTATATATCAACTATATATATACAGTTGATATATATATATCAACTATAACTATATATATAGTTTATATATACCTATATAAACTATATCTATATATAGATATAGTTTGGTTCATCTATATCTATATATCTTTCATCTATATCGGGTTCTCACGTTTTGTTCATGTTAGAGTCAAGTTCTGACTTGAAGGTGGCGCTGCTGTTGTCGTCTAGACAGAGGCCAGGGATAACTCCATTTGGAACCTGAAAATTATAGAAAATTCTAATGAGTTATTTCTTATAAAGTTTTTACGGTGCAGCAACATAAAATTCTTTGGATATTGATTATATTTAGTTGGATTTATTATATCACTCTCCGTTTCATACAGCAAATATTATTTACCAGTTGCGTTTGATTCATTATTTCACTTATTATATAAAACAAATATTATTTACCAGTTGCCATTATGCCGTGCATTAGAATATTTGTGTATGCCACATTCTTATTTCAATATTTTATAACCTAACAAAAAACTGATCAGAAAATTGAATACGTAAAAATTACAAAAATTGCAGCTAAAAAATTAGAAAAACCAGCTGAAAAATCGACCACAAACACAAAAATAACTCAGTACTCACTGCAGTGAGTGACAGAGAGCACATTTTCTCGTGGACGAAAACGTGAAGTCATGAACGGACAGACAGACGGACGGACGGACGGACGGCCATGATGAGCACAATAGCGCCAATTTTCCATAAATGAGAAAATGCGCTAAAAATATGATTGGTTTTACTGGAATTCGTACCTTGTACCCCGGCGGAGGTTTTTGGTAGGGAGGCGCGACGCTGATCAAATAAGTAAAAAATAAAAAAATTGTATAGTTGAATGAACATTTTAAAAACCAGATGGAAAAACGACCACAAACACAAAAATATGATTGGTTTTACTGGAATTTGTACCTTATACCCCGGCGGAGGTTTTTGGTAGGGAGGCGCGACGCTGATCAAATAAGTAAAAAATAAAAAAATTGTATAGTTGAATGAACATTTGAAAAACCAGCTGACTATCAACCACAAACACAAAAATATGATTTGTTTTACTGGAATTTGTACCTTGTACCCCGGCGGAGGTTTTTGGTAGGGAGGCGCGACGCTGAGGTCCACAATTCTGTCGGGGACTTCGCCTCGCGTGTCGTCAGCTGCCGACGAGACGTCGTCAGACGTGGTAGCGTAGCTCCATGCCGACGTCTGCACGCGATGCTTCGCGTGGTACGGCGGAGCTGTGCAATAAATAACACCAGATGTGTATAAATGCAACAAATAATAACTATTATTCAACAAGTATTTACTAAATAACACCAGATGTGTATAAATGCAAGAAATAATAACTTATATTCAACAAGTATTTACTAAATAACACCAGATGTGTATAAATGCAAGAAATAATAACTATTTATATTCAATAAATATTTACTACAGAAGTACTGATACCATTGTGATTACAATTTCTAAGGGGTGCTCTGCTATTTATTTTCGAATCTGCTATTTATTTTCGAAACTGAGTATGTCAATGAAATTTCATCATATGAAATTTTACAAATAATAAAAATGATAACAATTTTCACATTTTTACGTGTATTTGAAGAAGGACGATGTATACAAAATATGTGTGGTGAGTTGTTAATATTAATTTAACATATTTTATTAAAACTTCAATCATTTTTTGCGTTTGTTCTTTAGTTGTTATTTAATATAAATGTAATTTTTCTCTGTAAAAAGTATTTTAGAATTATGGATTGAGTTGAGATTTTGAGATTTTTGCTGAGATTTTCAAAGTTGAGATTTTCAAGCACCAAAACGCTTGACTACGATGCTGAGAAATACAGCATGGAAGTATCGGAACATCAATACAGAATACAACGGAGCATTAATACAGAGTACAATTTAATAAATGAAAGAAATTGGTTTAAATCTTGGGTAAATGAGGAAATTAAAAATGAACTGATTCTAGAAAATCTCTGGTTTGTCACTATGCAATTTATTCATATGAATAAAGGCACAAAGACTCAAGGCTTACCCTGATCAGGGCAGAACTGGTCCCTGAGATGCTGCACAGGCAATGCCTTCTCAGCGAGCAGCGCGTAGTAGCCGCGCAGCACCAGCACCAGCTCCTCTGCGTCGCGCTCCTCCAGCGTCACGCTCAACTTCTGAGCAAAATACGCATTTCAGAGCATCAGAGCAATTGCTTTTCTGAGCAAAATGCCTCACGCTCAGCTTCTGAGCAAAATACCATTTTATTAAAAGCGTCACGCTCACCTTCTGAGCAAAATACGCATTTCAGAGCATCAGAGCAATTGCTTTTCTGAGCAAAATACCTCACGCTTAGCTTCTGAGCAAAATACGCTTCTATTAAGAGCATCACGCTCAACTTCTGAGCAAAATACCCTTTTTTATTATAAGCGTCACGCTCAGCTTCTGAGCAAAATGCCCTTTTTTATTATAAGCGTCACGCTCAGCTTCTGAGCAAAATACGCTTTTATTTAGAGCCTGTCTCTTATACACATCTAGATGTGTATAAGAGACAGCGCTCAGCTTCTGAGCAAAATACCCTTTTATTTAGAGCGTCACGCTCAGCTTCTGAGCAAAATACCCTTTTATTTAGAGCGTCACGATCAGCTTCTGAGCAAAATACCCTTTTTTATTATAGCGTCACGCTCCGCTTCTGAGCAAAATACCCTTTTTTATTATAGCGTCACGCTTAACTGCTGAGCAAAATACTCTTTTATTTTCAGAGTTCTGCTTAGCTACTGAGTGAATTACTTTATTAGTTTAAGCTAACTTTGAGGTTCAGAGTAAATTAATTTATTATTTTCAGCTCTCGCTGAGCTTCCGCAAGAAACATTTTATTTTCTCAACGTCCCGACGAACTTCTGCACGAATTGCATCACAAAGTTCAAAGAAGCGCTGAGCTTCTGAACAAACTAATTTATAAATATTCATACCACGCTAAACATTTGAACGAATTACTTAATAAAATTCAACAAAACAAGCTGAGCTTCTGAACAAATTACTTCATAAAATTCAACAAAACGCTGAGCTTCTGAATGAATTACTTCATAAAATTCAACAAAACGATGAGATTCTGAATGAATTACTTCATAAAATTCAACAAAACGCTGAGCTTCTAATAAATTACTTCATAAAATTCAACAAAACGCTGAGCTTCTGAATGAATTGCTTAATAAAATTCAACAAAACAAGCTGAGCTTCTGAACAAATTACTTCATAAAATTCAACAAAACGATGAGCTTTTTAATACATTGTAACGAACACCAACCGTAAATTCAGAGTTACATTTATTGTGTGAGAATACAAATTGATTTTTACTTCAGAAATGCTTTTCAGCCTTGCTCAGTGCAACAAATTGAAAAATTTCCGCTGGTTTTTACTTCACTCTACAAGTTATATTTATTTCGATGTATCTTTCTAATTTGTGGATCTATTAAAGCCGCAATAAATGTGATACATAACTTAACCCTTAACCGTCGCGTCGTATGTCACTCTCCGGGAACATAACTTTCAACTTAAATTATACGTAAACTATTGAGTGTAGCAACCTGAGGACGTTTGTATGCAACAGAGAACATTATAAAGTTGTCGTACGTGGCGGCAACCATCAGTGCAAGTCATTTTGCGCTCACTAGTTTTTCTCAACGTCCCGACGAACTTCTGCACGAATTGCATCACAAAGTTCAAAGAAGCGCTGAGCTTCTGAACAAACTAATTTATAAATATTCATAACACGCTGAGCATAAGAACGAATTGGTTAATAAAATTCTACAAAACGATGAGCTTCTTAATACGTTGTAACAAACACTAACCGAAAATTCAGTTACTTTTATTGTGCCGGAATACAAATTGATTTTTACATCAGAAATGCTTTTCAGCTTTGCTCAGTGCAACGAATTGAAAATTTTTCGTTAGTTTTAACTGCACCGCATAAATTTGATTTCATTGGATGTACCTTCCCAATTCGTGGATTGATTAAAGTTACAGTAACTGTAAATGGTTCTATAACTTGAAAAAACGGTTCATATATCCAATAGAACGAGGCAGGATGTGTGAAGTACATACCTCTTTGTCAGGATCCTTAAGAGCGATGTCGACCTTAAGGCTTATGTTGTCCTCTTCTCTGGACACGACCAGGCCGGTGATCTGGTCGATGTCGCACAGCGCTTCAGGCTGATAAATACATCATTATTACCTCGCTACGATTTATTTTAATCTGACAATATTTCTGGAATAGTTAAGTTGTATCCGCTTAGCTTGCTACGATTTATTTTATTCTGACAACATTTTCGGAATAGTTTATTCGTATCCGATCGCATGATCCAAGAAAACCGTCTGATATACAGTAAATGACTTGATAATCAATGTTGAGATGCAATAAGTTGGAGAGATGAGAGAAGAAATTAACAATCGGTTAATTCAATACGATGGCTCTGCCTGTTGAGAGGCAATATTTTACTGAACAATCGCTAGATCCTCACCATAGCATTTCTGATGCCTGTGATCTGACTGATGCCAAAGCGAGGGCTTATCAGGATTACGCTCTCTTGATTGGCCTCCTGGGCGACACGAGGAAAAAATAAATTAAGACAATTTTTCATCAAATCAGAAAAAAAGAAACAAGTATTAATGCAACATGGGTTTGTTTGGCGAGCAGCAAATTTGTTAAACAAAAACTCAATTTGAATATAGGTTTACAATCATTCTTCATTTTACGAACGACTGAGAAGAAGTACATTAATTAGGTATTATGCACAATTTTAATTTGAAATCGGCACCGAATCGATACTGTACATTGCGGGTAGATTTTGCGTTTCCTGCAGTTCTGCCGATCCCGATTCAAATTATCGGTAAATTCCAAATGCCTACAAATTAGTATGTAAAGTGACTTATTTAAATTGTCATTTATTTATCGGTATCATTTAAATTACCTCTAATTGGTGGTCACACTAACCATGACGCATCCGCTGAAGCATTTTGCTCCATAAGATGGAAGCTCGCCGATTATTTTAAGATAGTGCAGCTTAAAAATTACCTCTAATTAAATTACCTCTAATTAAATTACCTCTAATTGGTGGTCACACTAACCATGACGCATCCGCTGAAGCATTTTGCTCCATAAGATGGAAGTTCGCCGATTATTTTAAGATAGTGCAGCTTGGGCTGCAGTGCCGGCACATTCTTCTGACCCGCAGAGGCCGCGGCACCCGCCTGCACCTTCAGGAGATGCGACAGCAGCTTCCGTAGCTCCTTCCTTCTCATGCCGTCCAGTAAACTGGGCGGTAGAAATCTTTCCAGGCCAAACTCTCGTCTGGAAGTAAATGAATTTATTCAGAGATTAAAAGGCAAAGCTGAATTTTCTTGAACAAAAAGTTTATTCAGAGATTAAAAGGCTTGGCTAAGCAACCAGTGGACAGGTTCAAAGCTGAATTTTCTTGAACAAAAATATAATCGAAAGAACGAAAACTAAATGGAAAAATAAAACACATTATAACTAATTTCGGTTGATGACTGATGGGGTAACGGAAAATTATTCATACAAGAAAAAAACAAACAACGGATAAATGTGCTGTCATAGAAAATTAATCCAACGAGCAAACGAATTCAATCGAAAAAGCTAGAGAACTTGTTATGTTTGAAACGGAACAACAAGTTGAAAACTCAAAAGAAATCTGAGTCAACATAAACTTAAAGCATCTTGCGGAAATGCATGTTAAATTTGATCAGCATTTAAATTTAAACGTAGCTAAATGATTATACTGATTGTTAATGTTAATTACGAGACGAGTGAGATTTAATTTAGTTTGAAGAGTCAACTTAACACATCTTGTGGAAATGAATCTTAAATTTGGTCAGCACTTAAATCTTGATTTACGAAGCTAAATGATTATACTGATTGTTAATGTTAATTACGAGTGAGATGTAATATAGTTTGAAGAAGTCACTCACTCGACGGTCTTGACGCTAATCTTGCTGCTGGCGACGCCGTTGGTGATGGAGTGTTGCTGGATGTGCAGCGCCGCTAAACGAAGAGCCACGTCGCTCTTCAGCTCCGGGGAGAAGCGCTCCTGTACCACGTCGTTGCAGCACTGCACGATATAATATTTTTTAATTATCTTTTAAATAAAAATATTTTTTTAATCACCACGTTGTTGCAGCACTGCACGATAAAATAAAATATTTTATTATTTCTTAAATAAAAATATTTTTTAATCATCTCATGCAGCTGAACAAGTGAATAATGGTTGCTGCGCTGTTAAAGTATGGTAGACAGAACAACGGACCTGATGGTAGACAGAACCACAGACCTGATGGTAGACAGAACCACGGACCTGATGGTAGACAGAACCACAGACCTGATGGTAGACAGAACCACTGACCTGATGGTAGACAGAACCACGGACCTGATGGTAGACAGAACCACGGACCTGATGGTAGACAGAACCGCGGACCTGATGGTAGACAGAACCACAGACCTGATGGTAGACAGAACCACGGACCTGATGGTAGACAGAACCACGGACCAGGGGCCATACTTTCAAAATTCGCTAAGTAAACGTAAGTACTTACGTGCTATTTTCTTGTCTATGATTGGTGGATTTGGCTTGAAAGGCCGTCAATGATTGGCCGATGAACTTACGATCTCTTAACTTTCTTTGAAAGTATGGGACCTGATGGTAGACAGAACCACAGACCTGATGGTAGACAGAACCACGGACCTGATGGTAGACAGAACCACGGACCTGATGGTAGACAGAACCACGGACCTGATGGTAGACAGAACCACGGNTAGATAAAATTAAATATTGTTTCAGAACGGAATTACAAAGTGACGAAACAACAATTTTGTCAATTTTCAAAAAAATTATTCAGTTAGTTATTTATTTAATTATTTATTTAGTTATTAAAGTTATTTACTTATATAGTTAGTTATTTGAAGATTCACTTATTTTCTAAAGCAAAAAAGAACAAGGATATTTTTCGTTATACTGAAAGAGCAAGAGAAATTGATAGTACAACGAACTGAGAGACTTAAATTAATTTTTCCAGACACCGAAAGCTAAAATTGAATGCAACCGATGAAATTCGTAGTGAAATTACCGAGAAAATTTCTAGTTTCACCAAATAGTTCTAAAATTCCCACAGTAAAAATATTAATATTACTATATTGGTCGCTAAAATCGGAATTATGGATAAACTTATTATTTAGTATAGTATAGTATAGTATAGTATAGTATAGTATATTATAGTATAGTATAGTATAGTATAGTATATTATAGTATAGTATAGTATGGTATAGTACCGGTATAGTATGGTATTGTATAGTATAATATAGTACAGTATCTTTGGCATTGAAGAATAGGCCTGTCGCGATTCTTGTACTTTTCTCGACTAGTACTTTAGATACAATACGTGTACATTTTTCAATGTAAATCCTAACCCACCCTTGTCAAAGTCTCGGCAGGGTCGAGAATAGTGAGCTTGTTCCTGCGCAGACTCTTGACATGCTCGACGACGAGAGAGAAATACCCAGGGCACTTGATGCCCAGCTTCTGATGTAAGCTGTCGAGCACGTCACCCACGGTGGTGCTTGAGTCGTACTTGAATGATTTCGTTTGGCCATTTTCCAGGAAGACTTTGAGGACGTTGGGCATGAACGGCGTCGTGGACTCGGAAGAGCTCAGGTTCGGCTGCAAATCATAATTTTATGTTAACAGTGGTATAAAAAAATCGCAATTTTTTCAGGGATAATGCTGAAAATATTTATTAGGACCATGATGAAAATTCGAAGATGCTAGAAAACTTAGTGCTATCATTTTTTTGCTACAGTATGACCATTTTTGTACGGCTAGTCAATATTTCTGATAACATTTTCAGATCGAAACAAGATCAAATACGACAACAAGATTAACGACTGCATTAAGTGCGAAATAAATAAAAAACTTTGTTATCATGTATAATTACGTCAGGCAAGCAGTATTCATTATGATGACGATCAGTGTAAAGTCACCTCAAATTGTATTACCGGTAATTATATGATAACAATGTATTATGTGAAAATATATTAATTATATGAAAAATTCTTTTGTTCGCTTATTTTCAACTTACAACTTCAGCGGTGCCGACCGTGCCGTTGATATGGACGCTCTCAGCAAAGCGCACCCGTGAAGGGTTGCTCTTGAGCCGCTGCTTCTTCGCCGCACTCAGCAGGGCAGACTTCCGAGCCGACTACCATTCAAGTCCAAAAAATTGTAATTAGAATACAAGCGGTGGAAAAAAGCTATCTGCATAACATTATGAATAATTTGTAAAAAATAATTCAAAGAGACACCTAATTTAATTCAAGGAGAAACCTAATTCGGCACGCACTGAACGTCTGATAGCATTGCTCACTTATTTATAGCTTACTTTATTATTTATACAGAAAAAGAGAGCCCATTTATTAGTGAGGGGAGAATGTGATGGGACCTTCATCCTTCGGTTGAAATTGAATACGAGCGAAGAGGGGCAGTTGCTCCGCATTTTTGTGCAGGAACCTAACGAGATTAATGGAAGCAATTCTTTCATTCCCTTATGATAGACTCACGTTATCGAGAGGCGGCGTTAGACTTACGTTATCTAGAGGCGGCGTTAGATTCACGTTATCGAGAGGCGGCGTTAGACTCACGTTATCTAGAGGCGGCGTTAGACTCACGTTATCGAGAGGCGGCGTTAGACTCACGTTATCGAGAGGCGGCGTTAGACTCACGTTATCGAGAGGCGGCGTTAGACTCACGTTATCGAGAGGCGGCGTTAGACTCACGTTATCGAGAGGCGGCGTTAGACTCACGTTATCTAGAGGCGGCTGTGTGACGGTGAGAGTTACGGTTTCCTTGCAGGACCTGACGAGCTGGATGACGTGGTCCCGTGGCGCCTTCTTCACGTCCTCGCCGTTGATCTCCAAGATTTGATCGCCGGGCAGCAGCAGATCTTCGCTTGGCCCGCCCTCAGTCACGAACCTGTAAGCCAACAAGTGAATTACGAGAAGTCTACCGTCCAAAAAACTTGCTTTCTAAAGCAAACGAGAATCTCTTGCAAATTGGTCATCATATCAAAATTCGATCATGATATGAATACGGGGTCACAGACTTATCTGCAAGCGGAAAGATTAAATTTTTTAATAGTGCTGATGAAGAGTGTGCACTTTTCGAAAAAGCGTGGGAAACTTTCATGTAAATTAGATGTGGATCTGATTGCGGAATTTGAATACTGGCTTGCTAAGACAGCACTGTCCGCATCAGATCGAAAAGACTTCACTTAGTGTTATACAAGGCAGCCACAACGCAAATGGCGAACAATTCTTGCAAATCAGGCAATGGGAGTGCAAAGATTGGAGGCTACGATAACAGATGGCATGAGCTCTGTAGGATAGCAAGCCGAAGCTCTGATTGTAACCAATAATGGAGTCCAAGCTATCCTCTGTCTGATAAGCAGTGCCGCCGATATCTGCCGTTTTCTCCACAGATTTCCGATATTGAACTGTTAGCGAGAGATCCCAGGCCCTTGCCGCCTCACACAATGCATCGATCGATGGGGTTGTGCTAACAGCACAGGCAAGGGAATGATCAGATTTTCAAGACAAAGGCGATATCCAAGCAAACGGAAGTGCAATAAATTTAAAATTATAACTATTAACTGGGGTATTAATTTATTTGGAAGTTAAAAAAGTGTCGGCAAACTTCTTGCCACTTACTTCAGAATAAAAAATTAATAACATTAAAAAATTTCCTTATAGTTTGGAATAACTAAAATGTTAATATGGCGAATATAATAATAATCACATAATCAATAATCACTGAATGACAAATTTATAATGATTATTTTAATAGGCGCTAACCTGACGATGACTGGTTTCTCAGACCCGGCGACGAACCCGAAGCCCATGTCCTGGTGACGCGACAGGGTTACGGTGCGGGGCTTAGGAGGTTCCTCCAGCGGGTCATCCTTGCGAGGGTCGGAGTACGTTGTAGTCTTGTTTAAATGGCTGGAAATTAAAGAGATAATTAGAGCAAAAAATGTTTAAATGACTGGAAATTATATAGATATTTAGAGCAAAAAATGTTTAAATGACTGGAAATTAAAGAGATATTTAGAGCAAAAAAATGTTTAAATGACTGAAAATTAAAGAGATATTTCGAGCAAAAATGTTTAAATGACGAAATTATACAGATATTTAGAGCAAAAAATGTTGAAATGACTGGAAATTATACAGATATTTAGAGCAAAAAATGTTTAAATGACTGGAAATTATAAAGAGATATTTAGAGCAAAAAATGTTTAAATGACTGGAAATTATGCAGATATTTGGAGCAAAAAATGTTTAAATGACTGGAAATTAAAGAGATATTTAGAGCAAAAAATGTTTAAATGACTGGAAATTATATAGATAGTTAGAGCAAAAAATGATTAAATGACTGGAAATTATATAGATATTTAGAGCAAAAAATGTTTAAATGACTGGAAATTATAGAGGTATTTAGAAAAAAAATGTTTAAATGACTGGAAATTAAAGAGATATTTACAGCAAAATTCATTAAGATATTTGTGTCTAAAGCTACAAAACCAAATCGAAGATTTAAAATTCTCTGATCAAGGAAATGAAATAAAATGGTCAGAGCTTACTATTTGAATGAATAAAATTCAAGCCTCTTTAATCCCATGACATAGGCCAAATTTTTAAAGAAACTATGTGGAATGTTGATGCGTATGAGCGCTAAGATTAAATAAGTTAAAGTATTCAGACTTCAACGAAGTCTAAATACATCAACCAGCTCAGCGTATATGATCAAGTCACTGTTGAAAAGAAATGAACTGGCATATTTCTATATCTATTTTTCGACTGAAAGCAAAAGTTCGTTCACCGAAATGTATTGCTGTTCGCCTTGTAATGTATTGTGTAAAACTGTATCAACAGTAAAGCTGTTCTGAGCGAACAGACACAACCTAATCACTGTTTACTCGAATTAATTATCTCTTTAGATGTACACGGAACAGTAGTTTAGTAGTTCATTAAATATACGATTATGTGATTTAATTTAGGATATTATTGGTCCAGAAGTAGGGGAACATGCGACAGATAAAATTTGGTGGTTTGCGTGAAAAAAGAGATATTCAGTGTGAACTCGTTCGTATGTGTAACAGTATGATGGTCAGCGAAATTGTATATCTATACAGGATTTCCATTATACTCCTGTGACCACTTGATGAATTTTTTCGTGGGTGTAATTAAGTGTGAAACCAAAACGTCACTCTTGATGTTTGAAACCAAAGCATCACATCAAATGTGTATGCAAGAAAGAGTAGCAGCACTCACTTGATGAAGTAAGTCTTGCCGTGCTTGTCGGTGGCCTCCTCCCAGCCATAAGGTAACACGGCGCCGCCACACCTCCAGTTCTCCAGGGGCGGCAGCCATGACGAGGTGCCCGCTGCATGGCTGTAGAGAAAATAGTTATACAATCGATTCAAGTAATTTTATGTACGGAATTATTAATTTGATATTATTGAACAGGTATAATAAATAATATGATAGATGGAAGTACCTATAAAATTTTGGCGCAATAAATTTTTTGAATGTACCTAAATGTGAAAGCATGACTGACGAAATTGTCGAGCAATGTCTTTTTCAGAGAATCGTTAGAGTTAGAAAGGTGAATAACTTTGCACACTCTGTTCATGACGTAATTCACGAACACAAAGTTTACCTTCAAAATTTAACAATAAATACTGTTTCTAAAAATATGAATATGTGATAAATGAGAGGAAAATTCAATTTCTAAAACGTTCAAAAGAACGTCCCTTTGGTCTAGTGACCCTGGTAACTCAACCAATATTTCTCTCTCCCATCGCTTCTTTTCTACAACACAACAAATATCGACAATTACAAACATGGATCCACTACTAAAACGCACAAACGTTCATCCAGAAAAAGATGTAGACAATGCATACAACAATAGGAAATGGACAGCCAGAGTGACAATAACGTGCTTCACGACTCAGAAAGAAGCAAGGCGCTTTGAAGAGACACAGCAGCCTTACGCGACGAGATACCGCACGCTACCTTCAGCGAGCGACTAAAAAGGCCCAGCACAGACCATTTTCTGTGCTTTTCTCAGGAAGCTCATCATTGGAAAACTGACAAAATGCGGCTGTGGTGGTGGTGGTGGTGTCTGTGGTGGTGGTGGTGAAGATTGAAGTGAATGCTGATGCCGGCGACGCAGCGAAACTCGTAACACTTGCCGCATTTCATTAAATTTGCTTCGCTGAAAATTTCGCTGAAGGCGTGTGAATAAAGCATTTATATGAATAGCCGGACTTGAAATTGTCAATTTCCTGCCTACTTATTTCAAAATAAATGTAAACAGATGACGCTCCAAATAACGTTCGATTTAATAGAGTATGCTAGATATTTGATATAGAGTAAGCTCTCAAAGATTGCATTGATGATAAAATTCGCTAAGTAATACATACTTCCATTAACTAAATAAATAGCCGTAAAAAACTCATGGCGAACATTTTTAGTACTGGAAGGGCAGAGCAAAAGAGATTCGATCATATTTCGTTCAGGTCTGATCTACTATGTTCAGGTCTGTGTCATTTGGAATTACCCCTTTAACAGCTTCAAAAATCATGGTTATTTCTGCATAAAAAGATCGCACAAAAACGACTTTCGCTTCCAGCACACATTATCGATGGGAAGGTGGGGCGATTTGGCAAAAATAAATTAATCAATAATTTCAATACTAGCATAATGAGCTAGCTTAAAATAGAGCAATTGCTTTGCTGAATTTCCTCGCTACACTCGCAATTTCAATTATTTTTCTCTTTAAAATTTTTCATGACTTTGTAAATATTTTGGCATCTATAACGCAAATACTGTTATTCAAAATTCAACAATAATACTATAATATATAATAACAATATAATATATTATAATAATAATATAATATAATAATATAATATAACAATAATTATTTCATAATATTTTTCTTCTAACAAGGTTGTATTAACCGCAATTGACGCCGCCTCTCTGATCGTTTTATTACTTTAAAGGTAACCGAATGAAAGTAAAATTTATTCCAAGACTTTTAGAAAATGGGTCAGTGCAATACTAAAGTTTAGAGAAGAATTGAGATTCGCTAGTCTTGAGAAAAAATAATTCTCTACGACGGAAGTATTGAATCGAGAACACATCCACTAAACTATATCTATTTTTCGACTGAAAGCAAAAGTTCGTTTACCAAAATGTATTCTGTTCGCCGAAAAGTATTGCTGTTTGCCTTATTGGGCGCCGTAACCATCGTATTCATTGGTAATAAATGCCGCATTTTGATATTAAATGCTATGATAAGTTAACAGTAGTACACTAGAGAATATAGTGCAATTACAAACAACGATTATATTTTTTATATAGTTGGTTTCATAACGAATATCGTTTTATTGGATTATAATAACAAATACATAATTACACATCAAATATACATATGAGTTCAGAAAAACATGAACATGCAAGTCTTCAAGATTTTCACTTCATATGGAAACTATTACCTATGTTTATTTATATTTATTTTTAACTATTTATTATTAGAAAATAAATATTTTCTTTAAATCAAATATTAGCAAAAGCAGCTTAAACTTTAGGATGATTTCAATGAGGGTTCGAAATTACACGACGCATGGTATACACATAATGTTAGTTCCAGCTAAGTGACGGGAGTGAGCGTCGAATTAAAGGCATTCATGTGATGAGCTGTGATTATTCATAACCCGTCCGTAAGGCCAGTCTAGTCAAGAAAAGTACAAGAATCGGTGACAGGCCTATCCAGGCCTATTTATTTAATGCCGAAGATACTATACTATACTACTATACTATAACTTTTTAATTCGATTTACCAACGCATTTCTGAATGATGCTGTAATTTATACAATAAAGCTGTTCTAAGCGTACAGAAACAACCTAATCACTGTTTACTCGAATTAATTATCTCTTTAGATGTACACGGAACAGTAGTTTAGTAGTTCATTAAATATACGATTATGTGATTTGATTTAGGGTATTATTGGTCCAGAAGTAGGGGAACATGCGACAGATAAAATTTGGTGGTTTGCGTGAAAAAAGAGATATTCAGTGTGAACTCGTTCGTATGTGTTTTCTACAACACAACAAATATCGACAATTACAAACATGGATCCACTACTAAAACGCACAAACGTTCATCCAGAAAAAGATGTAGACAATGCATACAACAATAGGAAATGGACAGCCAGAGTGACAATAACGTGCTTCACGACTCAGAAAGAAGCAAGGCGCTTTGAAGAGACACAGCAGCCTTACGCGACGAGATACCGCACGCTACCTTCAGCGAGCGACTAAAAAGGCCCAGCACAGACCATTTTCTGTGCTTTTCTCAGGAAGCTCATCATTGGAAAACTGACAAAATGCGGCTGTGGTGGTGGTGGTGGTGTCTGTGGTGGTGGTGGTGAAGATTGAAGTGAATGCTGATGCCGGCGACGCAGCGAAACTCGTAACACTTGCCGCATTTCATTAAATTTGCTTCGCTGAAAATTTCGCTGAAGGCGTGTGAATAAAGCATTTATATGAATAGCCGGACTTGAAATTGTCAATTTCCTGCCTACTTATTTCAAAATAAATGTAAACAGATGACGCTCCAAATAACGTTCGATTTAATAGAGTATGCTAGATATTTGATATAGAGTAAGCTCTCAAAGATTGCATTGATGATAAAATTCGCTAAGTAATACATACTTCCATTAACTAAATAAATAGCCGTAAAAAACTCATGGCGAACATTTTTAGTACTGGAAGGGCAGAGCAAAAGAGATTCGATCATATTTCGTTCAGGTCTGATCTACTATGTTCAGGTCTGTGTCATTTGGAATTACCCCTTTAACAGCTTCAAAAATCATGGTTATTTCTGCATAAAAAGATCGCACAAAAACGACTTTCGCTTCCAGCACACATTATCGATGGGAAGGTGGGGCGATTTGGCAAAAATAAATTAATCAATAATTTCAATACTAGCATAATGAGCTAGCTTAAAATAGAGCAATTGCTTTGCTGAATTTCCTCGCTACACTCGCAATTTCAATTATTTTTCTCTTTAAAATTTTTCATGACTTTGTAAATATTTTGGCATCTATAACGCAAATACTGTTATTCAAAATTCAACAATAATACTATAATATATAATAACAATATAATATATTATAATAATAATATAATATAATAATATAATATAACAATAATTATTTCATAATATTTTTCTTCTAACAAGGTTGTATTAACCGCAATTGACGCCGCCTCTCTGATCGTTTTATTACTTTAAAGGTAACCGAATGAAAGTAAAATTTATTCCAAGACTTTTAGAAAATGGGTCAGTGCAATACTAAAGTTTAGAGAAGAATTGAGATTCGCTAGTCTTGAGAAAAAATAATTCTCTACGACGGAAGTATTGAATCGAGAACACATCCACTAACTGAAAGCCGGACGATGAGGAGCCTGAAGTTGAATAATTCATCACGAAGTTTTATGCTTCCGTGCTTGTGATGGTCAAGACAACGATTCTAGTTAGCTAAAGTTCTTGGAAAACAGCAGTTTAAAGCAGCGGTGCTAGACATTCATCGATTAGGGTTTACGATGCACTTAAAGCTGTTAAGTCGACCGAGTACTCGAGCCCGAATTTTATGGAAAATGTGACGAACTTAGAAAAAAACGACGCTCATATCGTTTAAGTGAAGAAGAGTGAAGGCATGGAGGAGATCTAAGGAATTTCAATAGCAATGGTTAGACAATGTTGGTAAGACATGAATCATTTAGGACTACTAACAGATTACCGGCACAAAAAGAATCTATAATATTAGGATTCATTACGTCATTCATTACGAACAAGATAACAATAGGTCCAATTGCTCTGATTCAATTACCCAGTGGATTTATCAAAACCAAACAGAATTTTAGCAATACATTGAAAGTTAAAATATTCCCTTAAGATTAAAAACGAATGATCGCTGGAATTTCACGAGCATTTGGAAACCCGGGAAAAAACGAGCTATAGAATTTTTCAAAACTCCTCCATAAAGCCGCCGAAACACAAAGTCATCGCAAAGAAAAACTCTTCCTCGGGCAATGAGGGAGGCATAACAATTCTACGGTATCGTTCACAGAGCTCGTCTAAAACAGAACAATCGAGTCGGAACGGAGCCGGGCCTGAGATAGACGTTAGAGTTCTGTTGGTGAACACGAGCGGCCGGCTTAAACGCCTTTAACGATGTTGACTCGGCTTGTGCGCTCGGAATTCAAAATTAAATGGCAGGCACTTTCCAAACGTAGGAAAACACACTATAAGAATTCATTTACAGTATACTAAATTTTGGGCCTGAACAGTAAAAACAAGTGTAAATGAAATTCGTGGTGAAGATTATTAAAAATAAAGTTTAAAAAGTGTGCGCTGCGCAATGAAAATGCTCTACGGAACACACGCTCTGAAAAATGGATTGTTCATACTCTTCAAATACTGACACATTTTCTGTACAAAGAGGGCCCACACATGAACAAAAACAAAAAATGCATCGATATTTGGACAAAGCATCACTAATTTCACTGAATGCAGCTAGCGTGCGCCGTACTTAGACGCATGACGCAGCGCCATCGAGACGAGCGCCGCGCTGCTGGCGTGCGCTGACGTGCGTATACACCAGCGTACGCACGTGCGTAAGTGCGGCAAAGCGTACGCTGACGTACGTGCGCCTGACCATGCCGTCCGTGGGTCGCATTGAGGCACAACTATAAGCTCACTGTTCTGTTTTCATATCTAAAAATATAATCAACAGGCAACTCTCAATTAACGCGCAAGTGTTGTTATGGAAGAGTAGCTGTGTGTATGTAGCCAATGAGTTGGAATATTTATATCATCTTAATTCGGATATTAAACATGCAATTTCAAAATTTTTCAATTTAGGCACTGAATGTGCAAGGACGTTTTTAACATTTTTGAAAGACTCAGCTGAGTGTGAAAAGAACGTGCCACCGTTCAGCTAAAACAACTAAATTCTTGAGACACCAAAAAAATTATAGTGACAGTAAATAAGAAATCAGTGTGGTATCAAAGCTCGGCGTTTCTCAGTGAACTCTTCCGGCCGGCATCGTGCAGAACACGTATGTTTATTTCTAGCCATCGTAGTCGTCTCGACTCGGCGATAACGCGAGAGCAAAGCGCTCCATTTGACAGCTGCGGTCGTCGCTGTGGGCGTCAGTGCTGCACATTGAGCGACTCAAAGCGTTATTAATAGCTCCGTTGATGAGCACATAACAAATATACCTATTTTTTCGCATTTTCTCGCAAAATTTCACAAGTAAAAATAATTTTTTTTATCAACTTCATTGTGGCACTCCATTTGACAGCTGCGGTCGTCGCTGTGGGCGTCGCTGCTGCACATTGAGCGACTCAAAGCGTTATTAATAGCTCTGTTGATGAGCACATATAACAAATATAACTATTTTTCTCGCAAAATTTCACAGGTAAATAAGCACATAACAAATATAACTATTTTTTCCGCATTTTCTCGCAAAATTTCACAAGTAAAAATTATTGTTTTGATCAACATCATTGTGATAAATTACCAGAATATCATGAGTAAGCTCTCATATGGAAATTTATTCAAAATTATCATTATAATTTTGTGTCAACACATCTCGGCACAGTCAACTTCATCATCGAATTAAGGTGTGAGTACAGAATTAAACACTGAACGCTTACAAAAGTCAGCTTTGAATAAAAATTTCTAGTGATCGCACACTCATATATGCTATGTTCTCTCTGGACAATGCCGGCCAATCCACACACCATTGCACAGAATTGATGATAGGCCGTTCACTAATTGAGTTACTAGGCCAGGGCAATTCAATTTTTCGGGTTGCGTTGATTGCCAAGAGATGAAGTCGCTTCTGTACTTGCATCAAAGGGATGGATACATCAACATGACAAAAAAAAAGTATCTATTTTTTGTATCATAATGCTGATGTCACTGAACATTGTTGAGATAACGTGTTATGAAGGATAATGAAATCCCTGCAATAATATCATTGTAGGGATTTTTACAATCCCCTACGTCATCATACACATTTACATTATATTGATGAAGGGAATGTCAGAAGATGAAAGACGTTCTGACAAGCTCTATGATAATTACAGGCAAGATATTTATTTCCCTATTATTTGTTAAGACTTGCATTTGTTTGTTGGGATGCCGGAAGCCGGATTGTGGTTGCGCCTAATCCAATTTCACAGCTACTCCCATCACATTAGGCTCAAAATGAGTGAAGCCACAAGCCACACAGCTTTTTCTAGGCTATAAGGCAGAAGGCTACCTATTAATACCTTAAATAAGACTATTTAAGTTGCAAGCACTATGAGTTCATGTTTCATGTTAAAACCCTAATTACGGATCTGATTTTACATAGAACATTTAGGAGCGGGCACACGTCTAACGCCTGTCAGCGGCCTGTGTCTCATTTCTATAAAATTAAATAGTGTTGGGGCACGCGGATCATATAACACGTTCGAATCGAAAAACTACACACACAAAATTTAGTCAGTAAATATACAAATTATTTGTAATTAATTAATACAAGATATCCGTGTCAACCAGCTGTCATTTCATGAAAAAACTTCCTAATTAAGCAATAATTACCAGTGTCACAAAATTATCTCATTATTGCGGACATGAAGCATGCATAATGACAACGAGGCCGGGGCACAATGAGCGATATTTAGCGTGTTTGGGTAGCTAATAAGCGCGCCTCAGACACAGAGATTGGCACAGTGCCATGCGTCAGGGCATTCATAAATGTTGCATGTTATGATACGCTTCATGCGCACCACACACGTCATGCCATGACTTGCAAGCACCGTAGCATACATGCGCACACGTCCCAGTGAATGACCACTGCTAAGGATGTCATTCATAGTACAGATCTTCACTTCTAAGTAAGTTGTATTGTAATTAAATTCAAGATATTTATAGTACAGTAATAAATTATATATTAATCGCGTGATCAACCAATAAAATTTCGACTGAATTTACGTGAAAGATGATATACATTACCAGGGCAACCGGGGTTTCATGGAACCAGTCCATGTATTACGAGTCCCACACGTACCTGTAAAGAGAAAAATATGGGTTTAATTGTTTGTTGAAGGTGATAATTCACATGTTATAATCTCACTAAGTCACAAAGTGTTATCCAGTTATGAAAATAAATTTGAGACCAAGTATTCAATAGGCTCAGTATTGAAGAAAAGAAACGAGCATATAAATTGGTTAAAATGAAGTGGAGATATGGCAACCACGTTCATTTCACCGTAAATGGCAATCGGGCTCCGATAAATGTAGCTAAATAATGATGAAAACAATGAATTTACTAAGCAGATTTCTATAGCGTGAATGACAAACGAAAAACACATTCTGCAGTAATGACAGATGACACAGAAGTCCAAAAAAATATTCCAAGCGATCTAGATTTTTTAATACAAAGTCACATTTTCTTTTCCAAAAAATTAAAAAAAGGAAGACTGTTGGCTACCTTTGACAATGCACAACGTTGGTATACTGTTTCGTAGGAACAATCCACGACGAACTTTGCACAGCAGTTTGTTCTTGAATTTTTCCGATGCTTGAAGCAGGAGTAATTTTCCTGGTCCCTGAAGTGCTTTGTTTACCGAAACTCAGAAACTGACGACCAGAAGTTACCGAGTTTTGTTGGTTGTGATTTAAAGTTCGGCGCATAATATGCGAATTAAAATTTTCGTACGTGTTGATATCGTTACGATTACTGATGGTCTGCGATTTGCCACTTAAATCACCAATTATGGACGGTCTAACTTCAAATTTAGATTCTGGTGAATTAAGGTTGACACATGGAGGTTGCACTCGAGTGCTGCGACCAAAATGTCCTCTAGTTGCTAGAGAATTGTACTGGCCCGCCGTGAGTCTCTGATTGCAGCCAACAATTCGCTTACCAAGAGTGCGTGAGTGGAATTGCTTACAAGGGTCGGCAGCAGGATACAAAGAAGGCTGATACGCCGTTGAAGAATTAATTGATAGACTACTGGGATCGTTCAGGGAATGTTGCAGCGGAAGCACCAGAGGGCGCTTATTTTTCGCTGAATATAATGAGAGACTGGCAGATCCTCTTTGATTGTTGCTAGAGTTATTCACATATTCTCCTGCAATAACCTCTACGGTTTTAGAAACAACGCTATCTGTTTTGGCATCACCCAAGCCAGAATCAACGGCATCATTATGATCCATGCCATTATTTTCTTGATCAGAGGTGACCCACAGTGGAACAAGCGAACTATTTCTTCGACTAGACTCATTATCCGACGTCGCGTTACAACTATCTGCTTCGGACAAGTTTTCATGGACGGTTGAAGCAGCACAGGAAATCTCGGAAAAGTTACAGTCACCGTTTTTTGCCGAGCGTTGGCCAGAACACGATGACTGGCCATGAGGAGGAAGAACATGAGAGGGTGCGAGTGGTCGGTTGGCAGCATCAGAGGGACAAGGGGCTGCTTCACGACCATGCTGGAGTGAGGGAGACGACGGCCTTGCAAAGGGCTTCTCAGGCGTGACTTGAGAGGGACGGTGCAGGCTCAAAGATTGGCTTCGTCGGACAAAAAAACTCGACAGCTTGGAGGAGTTGCCTGAAGATGCAGTCGGTCTTGTGGATGAACAGGATATGACAGGCACAGCCCGGGACGGATGTATTCGATGGGGATTGTGTGACGCAGTCAAGTTTGTGACGGATAAAATTTCTACAGAATTTTCAGTTTCATCGACCGTAGCTGCTGCTTCGTTCTCGATAACCGAAGATGGAACATAACAAGTATTATCTTTAGCGTAACAGTCACCAGATTCTTCGGCATTCATCAAAATCCGTTGGTCTTTCGATATAGAATGTGAACTTGTAGGGACATCTTCAACATTATCTTGAACTGCTGCCACGTCATGGCCGCTTGCAAGAAAGCACGACGCCCTGTCGCTGTCAGCTGAAGAATCAATCGCCTCCAAATTTGAAAGCGGAGACATTTTGGGAGAGGAGCAGCGGTCCTGAGACTTGTTTGTCGAACATTTGCATTTGCTGTGAACGTTCTTGTTGCCCATGATGCCAAAAAGACGCATGGGGAATAACTACAATCCTCCAGGTGAAAATAGAAGCAAAGTTCTCTTAAAATATGAATTCAATCATCACTCTCATTGAGTGAGGTTTTTATAAAAGTATCAAAATTCTGTAAAAAAACTAGTATTATTTTTGTTCTGATAAGAAAATTTCATTGGAAATACACAAGCTGTAAAAATATATGTTAAATATATTTTATATTTATTAATATATGAAACATTGAAACATATATATAAATATATGTTTTATTTAGCCTAATAAGTTTTGTGGAATGGAAGAAACCGTATTTCATACAAACATTCAAATAAAAAAATTCACTTTAATACCGTCCCAATCAGAGTTCCAGCTTGCAGTTTCTAGTGCGGGTAAGTGAAAGGTTAGGGCTAAACTCCGTGGAGTTTCATGCGTCACAGTCTGCTATAAGACCAGCCCTGGACAAGGGAAGGGAGGTTCGGAGAAGGGAGCGTCTCAGTAAAGTGATAGTCTTGAAGGCTGGGACCGACGCGGCTGGGATAAAAGTGTCAGTATTGAATAGCCCCGTAACAGCTGCGAGAGATCAGCGATACTGACGCCCGGATAAAGGAGCCCAAGGGAAAACACTTAGGAAAAACTGAAGCAAATCGAATTTGTTGACTGCACAACGCGAGCGAGATGAAGAAGGATGAAAAAAGTAGAGGAAGGAATTAAAATGATGGAAACATGATGAGAATTACGACGTGAACGAATGGATGCACTGCAAGTAACTACAGTAACGTAGCGCATCGATTGCGGGCACATCTGGGCACATGTTAGCGGCCTCGGTTGCCAAAGCACCGCCCGTCGAACGTACTCTAAACTTTCACTCGTCACTCCCACAATTGATCGTGTTCTAAATCGTGAAAACGTGATAAGTTAGTATGACAAGTTCGCACATGGTGAATTCAGGGTTTGCGATTGTAGGAATTATTATCATTGTTAACTCATCAACATACTACTTTACACATAAATGAGTGACGTGAAAGTTGTCGGCAAACTTGCACTACGAATTAGTAGATTTTGGTAGCAATACAATAAATATTATTAAATGTAAGCCGTATATATTGTCAAATTCGAATGGAAAATCTCGATATTCAAAAGCTGGATTAATTAGTCGTGTATATTTTTACACGAATCATGTGTTTTACACAAACCCTGTATATTTTAACACGAATATTGCTGAAGGTCTCGTATATTTTAACACGCCTGCCACTTTCAGTGGCTTGCGACTCAGTTTATTGGCATCAATGAAGCAGCATGTCAAGAGCCAAGTAAGTTAAGTTTTGAAACACAATAAGTCTTGACCGCGGAAATCTTTCTATTAGAATATACGACTGAACTGTTCGCAAGTCTGCCGACCCAATGTATTGCAATAAAAATCGAGTTCTCCCCGAGACCAATCGGTGCAACGACCGCACTGATGCGAGATCGAATGCATCGTTTCAGGATTACCGTGGAAGCGCATGGATTGGATAGAGGATTAGACGGATCTGTAACTGCACGAGATGAGAAATTAAGTACGCATGACAATACTTGTAAAATTATATTGTTGAAAGAGTGAAGTGAAATAATAAAAATATGAACTCAAATCTCACACGGAATGTAACGCAATATATTTCAATTGTGTCTCTCATAAAATAAAAAAAACGCAAGAAAACAAGTTGCGAACTTGAAGTTCGCGTTGGGCAAAATTTTTCGCTCTGGTAAGGTGCAGGTGAAAAAGATACCTGATATAAATTAGGAAAAAAATCCAAGATAAATCATTCGTTTACACTGTTACATCTAGCGCAGAATTTAATGTAACTTCATTATTTTAGATCAGTCGCAGAACAGAAACTTGAGCAATGAGAGAGAATTGTTCATTAATTTATTGTCATCGATCGCATACAAAGTGAGGAAAAACCCCACAATCCTTACCAAACCAAGTGACTCAAATTATATCATAAAATTTTTTTTAAAGAAAACATCAACGTTATCACAAAATTTATCTATTTATCAAAATTTTCCCATCTTTTCTTTTCTCTGATGCAAATATTTTTATTTCGGAAGAAGAGCATCCTAGAGAAACAAAATAATTATTACACAGTATATATTGACTAGGCGCAAGTACGGACTAGCCAGACTCAAGAGTATGGATGGCAGGAGGGGGTGAGAATGTAGTTAATATATATAGGAAAGTTTGTTTAATGAAGCAGCTCTGTATACGGGGGGAGCTCGAGAGTTATAGTTACTCGCCACGATGCCATTTGCTTAAGCGAAGCAGCAGGTGGCAAGTCCCTGCTTCTCGGCGAGCAATATAATGGCAAACAGGGAGAAAAAATCCAGTGATTTATGGCAGACCGAAGCAGGCATTATTGCCGACCGGTTTCTATAGTGCGTCCAAAACACGAAAAGCTAGTATTTTCACCAATTATATATAAAATCCAATTAATTATGTAGGCATTTAATTAAAAAAATGCCCGTTGCACAAATTTAGACTTCTAATAAAATGAAGTGAGTTTTCAAGAAAAAAAAAACGGAGGAAGTAAGGACGTAACAGTATTGAGTAAGAAAAATCAATAAGAAACAAGAAATAGCGTGGTCTTACCAGCGAGGATTTCTTCAACAGGGAAAAGGCAAGCAGAAGATTGCAACGAGGATACATTTAGGTCCAGTTTACAGGAACGAGGTAAACCAAACAGTATGGATATACTGTAAATGGTTTAGGCGGACTACAATGACTTTATAAACGAGATAAAATAATAGGATGTTTCAATGTAAAAGGAAGTGCTGAAATTAAGGCTAAAAGGGCGAATCGACCGACGTAACAGTTTGAATTGAACGACTCTCATGTTTTAATGAACAAATCATTAATTACAAATCAGAGAAAAAAGTATCGGAACAATGCTAAAATATAATATAGAATTTTATTCGACCATTACAAGCAAAAGTAGACTTAAGAACGATTTATTTTCGGCCTCAAAGTGTCGTCAGTATTTTAACGCTACAAAAGAAGGTTTTCTTGCCAATGAATACTGACTTGTGTGATTAACGAGCGGGACAGTGGCATACAATTGAGACATCTGGAGCTCACGTTATACGATGTTCGATATTACATAAATCATATATGGGGGAAGAAGGGATACCGGGCCATGGGCCGTCGAATGACCCCCGAAAATTTTAATACAAATTTCAATGTAAATGTTATATTAAGTTATTTACAACCTACTATGCGCTTCGGACGTAAGGCGGTCACGTAATGAACATGATTGATCCAGGTAAATCCTATAAAATAGGCAAAAGCAAAAGTGCTTCCTTTCGAGGCTCCATCGAAAGGAAACTTCTACCATCTTTTGACGTACTACTTGAGTCAATATATAATTACGATAAAATAGCTTTTTGCTTCTAGAACTAATGCCCAACAAATATAAGTCTATGAAAAGATTAAATATAAATAAAAAAAGATTAAATAATCAATAAAAAGATTAAATAATAGCTGTTTGCAGTTATGCTCCGTTTACATTTCATGTCATTTTTCAAACACTAATATTGAAGAGGATACTGCACGAGAAGAGCACAGCAGTGCAGGCATGTGTCGTGTAAATACCACTGCATGCACGGGGTGTTCACTTCACTTGACATTAACAAAAATAAAGGCCAAGGCAATCGATATATATAGCAGACGATCGCCTCAACAGTAACAGCCATCAGTAACCAAACAGCTACTGGCCAGACAATTGACAAATGTTGCATCTTCCACTGGGAGCTGTTTTCGGAGACATCAGTAACCAAACAGCTACTGGCCAGACAATTGACAAATGTTGCATCTTCCACTGGGAGGCTGTTTTCGGAGACATCATCATCATTTTGAGAAAAAAAGCGACTCTGAACATTAATTACCCAAACAATACACTGTACAGGACGATGTAACCCCAGAAGTTTGATATTTTCTAAAATGTGTTTTTTCAATTTCGTCGAGACGCCCTTTCGACATACCGGCAGCCAATGAATGCGAAATGGTCGCTCCAATTGAGAACAGGACAGGCCAGTGAACGAAATACCGACGAGAAGGCGATTTGAACAATCAGCAAATAAATCCCGTCAAACTTGTAACCATAATTAAATTAGGGAAACATTAATATGAGCGTCGTCTCCCTTTTCTTCAAAGAATATAAGGAAAATCAACTGAACATTAATTGAAGAATTATGAAGAAACTCTTCCAAAAATTGAAATCGAATCAATAGAAAATCTTCGTGAGTTTTATGTAGTAACGAAAATCAATCAAGTAGTTTTTCGAAAGGACGAAGAAAATCATGGAGCGTTTCATTTGTTTCACGTAGAAGCATAATAATATTCCCAGCAAGTTATTGTTCCGGCCCTCTAATTAATTGCAGCGTGTGGAAAACTGTAATCTTACGCCCCTTAGTAAAAAAAACTGCATTAGCACTTCAACTTGTGAGACACAGTGTTATTGTAATAGTTACCAGTGCACCCCTTAAACAACTAATTGCGAGTAATAACAAATTGACAAGCTTTCTAAATATTTTTTAAAATCCAAATTTGATACAAGCAATGTTATTTTAACGGTTAGAAAGGGTATCGCTAATCCAAATGCGATTTGCAATGGAACGTTAGCATTGAATTTTTTCTCGGTATATCTGAAAAGACACAAGAAAGATATGTCATGGGATTTATTTTTACAAGGAAACCCATTTATTTGAACATTTATTGATTTATTTTATGCGAGGAGATCATTATCGACTTTCAATATGATCGCTCAGCATTCTGAGAGATATTATTCACCAACTTTCCTTCCGTTGAGCGTGACTTTTGCCTTTCATGAGCGATCAAAAGAACGCGCCAGCGTCGTAGTTTGCCCCCCAAAAGGCTTTTGTTTCCAGTGAAGGCACTCGATCATATCCGGGATTTGGGGGGATAGCGGTTATTTCAGGAACACCAAAGCCATATCCCAACAACGATAAATTTTGTTCAACGAGAAGTCGTCCTAAATGGAGAGCCCCGGACAAACCTTTTTCGATTTCAAAAGAAATCATACAACTTAGAGCTACTATAGTTACAAAAAAAGCTCAAGTGAGCGATT